CCCCAAAACCCCAAAACCCCAAAACCCCATTAAGCAGATATAATATTGAAATTATTGAACTTCTAATACGGATACTTCTTCTCCATTGTCATCAATCACTTTGCTCTTCTTAGGATCAAGAACCCACTGTCCATTGACGAAGATTTTAAAGGTATAAGTTCCGGACAAAACATTGATGCTGCAGTGGAAGTTCTTGGTACTATGATTATAACTCATTCTGTTCTCCCTCTTGTTCCAGTCATTGAAGGAACCAACTAGATATACCTTGTCTGTCGACTTTCCTTTGTAATTAAAGTCGATTTCCCTCAAGATTTCGTCCTTTTCTTCTTCATGAGTTGTATCATGAGGAAGCATTTCATCAATGCTTTCTTTCTTTGATTTCTCAAGATCTTGTAGAAGTTTTGCCTTGTTGACAAAGACTTTTCCTCTGATTCTGTAAGCTTCGCTGCACCATTCTTTACTAACATTAGCAACATCAATTGCTGATTCAAAAGCGTTCTTTCTGAGTCTTCTGTAGGCATCTTTGTTCTCAAAAGCCTGGTAAGCTCTATGCAGTGCTTGTAGAAGATCTTCTCTAGAATAATTTAGGAACTCAAATCCATTTCCTTTACCAGTTTGGTAACTGTATTCTGTCACCGAGTCCTTGAGCCCACCTGTGGCAAATACTACTGCTGGAGTTCCAGCGATAAAGAATTCGTGCTGGACTATACCTCCTGGCTCGAATCTAGAAGGCATTAAGCAGTAATTTGAGCCAAGGGATAAAACAGGGACATCATAGAAGAAGCTTTCAGGGTCACCATGAAAGTTATGTGGGAATTTATTCTTCAAGTACTTGCATGCTTCATTTACATGAGCACCGTGAGGATCACCCTTAGCAGCAGGTCCTCCGACAATAAAGGCTGCTTTGAAGTTAGTCTCATAAAGGAACTGCTCAACAACGGAGCAGATTACATCAACTCCTTTCTGTTCTGTAATTCTTCCAACGAATGAGAAAATACAGAGGTCAGGGTCAACTTCTGGAGTGTTAAGATATTTCTCCATTAGGAATCTCTTCGAATCAAGATGATCCATATGTTTGAGACCTCTCTTTTTCAACTGAGCTGCCAGATCCTTCATTCTATCTTTGACGTCAACTCCATTTGAACAGGCGAATGGATGCGAGAATTTATTTAGCAATGGCTTTAAAGGAGATACCTGCAGAATTTGGTCCCTATAAGATTTTGATACACTTGACCATTGATCAGAAGCAATCAGAGCACATCTTGAAGGATTGATGATGTGATCAGACCAATAAGGATCAATCAACCAGTCATTTGGAAGATTATGGATATGCTCCATCGTTTCTCCAGGACTCGTATAGAATCTTCCTTCATAAGTTACATCAAGGTTATGGAAGATATGGCAAAAGGTTGTACCACTGAAAGCTGTTCCAAAGTGCTTCTGATCTCTTGCATATCCAGGAGTGAATGCAGTGAACCAATCATTTGTTATAATAACTTCTGGGATTATCTTAAATTCACAGAGAACCTGCAAAGCTGCTTTACAGAATAAAGCACAGGATTTCAGCTTGAATTCATTATTGTCTCCTGGATAAGGTTCAAAGAAGTGGAAAGGCTGATGAATAAAGTATACTTTAACATTCTTGATTACTCCATAATGGATTCCAAATGTCTCATGAATGCTTCCAAGATTAAGGCTGATATTTTTCAAATACTTGATTCCATATGTACCGTCTGGGTCCAAAAAGATTTGTTCACCAGTATTCTTCTTCTTATCGAAATAAGGAACTATAATATAAGTGTCCTCTCCTAGTTTGGCAAATCCTGTTGCAAGCTCATCAACCATGACTGCTAGACCTCCGATCTTAAACCATGGAGCTAGCTCAGGTGTGACAAAGCAGATTGGCCCCATTTTATTTTTCTCTACGATCTTCTGAATGATAGCCAGAACATTTTGATCTTTAGAGATAAGGTCATGGAAATCTTTGAGATCCTCATCCTCTTCACTAAAGGTGTACTCTTCAGCACAATGAATGTGATAACATTCTCCCAAATTTTGGATGTACTTCATGTAAATATTAGATGCTTCCATATGAGTGGCTTTGCTGACCAGTTCCAAATTTTCCATGAATTTCTGTCTAGCTTTGATGTAAATCTCATGATGAGTCTCTGGGTTCTCCTCCACTTGCACCTCCAAAGTAACTGTTTCATGAGCATCAACGGTAAACTTCTTTGGGCAAAAAATAAATTCGTTGAGAAGGTGATATTCAGTCTCTGCCTCTTTATCCCAATATTCTAGTTTGATAAGAGTAGATTCATTGTGGAACTGCTTCTTCATTAAAGTTTTCAAAGGTGTGAAATCTACCCAAACAGCCTTGTTATCATCTTCAAAGTTCGAAATAATAATGGCAACTTGTGAGTCTGTATATCTTGCATAAGCAAGGACAGTCTTAACATCACCAAATTGGTTGACTCACTTAAGGGCGACATTTACTCCATTCCTGAGTGAAATTTTCTCACTTCTGAGTTCTCTTGCTCTCTTAAGCCTCTTTACAATATTTTTCGAGAACTGCTCTCTACTCTTTTGCTCTTCAATATGTTTTAGTTCCTGCTCTTCTTCACTCAGGATCTTTGTTTCCTCAGGAATTTTTGCTTTGGTGTGATGATACGAGGCGTGCATCTCCCTGAAATCAGGTCTGAAATACTGAATGAACATCTCAGTCTCGCTGTCCTTGCCCTCAATCTCTTCATGCATAGTTATTGGGACTACTTCATGGAAGAAAAGCGTATCCAGAATCGTCAAGTATGAATTATGGAAGCTCTTCATCAAACTGTGTGAGGAATGCACGAATGTGCTTTGCAATAGAATTGATCCCTTACATGAGTCTTTCATGAACTCATCGTTATACTTGAAGTGATCAAAGTTGGCTTTCTTTCCAGCTGATCGAGTTAGGATATCTTCTGTGATATTTTTAACCATTGCATGGCTTCTTGGGACAACCCCAGAAAGTTCTACTATTTTCTCGCTTCCTTCTTTCCAGCACTCTCCAATAACCATTAGATTTGGGAAATGCTTCCACAGAGTTTTCATAAGTTTGATAAGGATAGGGTTGGGGCATTCTCCACAGTCTCCCCAGAGTAAGAGATCCTTATGGGAATCGATAACATGTCCTGACAGTATCTCATCAGCAGTATATTTTGGCTGCCCATCTGCATCAATGCCATACATTTCTTCATAATCTATCAGCTTTAGACTTGGCCAAAGATCACAGTTATCCAAGCTCAGGCCATCAATGTTATACTTAGTAACGAATTCAACAGCTTCACCGATTAGGAGGTCCCATGCTTTCTTCTTACGATAGTTCAAAATGGAAGAGTTACTGTAAGAAAAATTAGATTTACCACTTGTTCCATGACAAACTGTGAAATAGTTTTTCTCATCAATATGGTTATTCAACAACTCTCTGTATTTCTTAGAGATATTAACAGAACCGACTCTATCAAAGTAGTCTACTATGAGTTTAATCTCCTTTCCATGCATCTCTGCTAGTGTTTGCTTAAATTCTTCTTCCCCTCCAATTCAATCTTCAATTTTAGTTCTTGATGCAATAGAGTAAGGGTCATCATGGGCTCGTTTGTGAATACCTGAGACATGGAGAGCATCTATTCCTCTTTCAGTGAAGTAGTTCAAATGATCTCTCACCTTTCTAAGGTTCCCCCTACTAGTCAAAGCTCCAGTGTAGAGATCCTTAGTGGCTTTAAAAAGATCTACTACTATCTCATGAAAATTGGCATGTTTAATGAACTCATTATGAACAATGAACCTATGGCTTTGAACATTTTCAATATTGTTAGCATTAAGCCGCACAATCTTGTAATCGTAGAACCCTCATTTCTCGAATGTTCCAAGATCAAGTACGATCTCTTTCCCAGCTTCGGCATTTTCTGTAATTCTGTGCCAAGAGATATCAGTTTTGCTTCCATTTGGGAAATTTAGTGAAATATAATAGGCTGTAGAATCTATCGAAGGGGTAAATTTAACGATAATCTTCTCTCCAGTTAGCTTCACCTCAGTTGTTGTTGGAATCTCTATCTTCCAAATAGTCTCGTCATAAAGGCAATTTAGGTACTTAATAGCTTCCGATCTAACAGTTTGATTAGCATGAGCAATGAGCTGGATCAGTAGTTCCTCAGCCAAATCTTTTCCATCCTCAATAAATCCTAAAATAAGGTCACAGATGTCATCCTTGAGCATTTGGAGCTGATTAGAGAGAGCTTCATCTTGTCCTTCGCTGCTGCTCTTTACTTGACCAAAGTATTCTACATAGTCTAAGTAATTCTGCTGTGAGAAGACTTTCTTAGAATGTTCCTCTGACTCAAAGAGAGACGAAAAAAATTGCAAAAAGTCAAAGCATTTTGGTCCATCTTTGCCCAAATCTAATTGACTCTTTAAGACTGTACATAGGACGTAGCAGTAGAAGTTGAGTAATAAGTTGCCATGAGATCTAAGTGTCCTTTCAATGTACTCATCATCGAGCTCTTGTGTAAGTTCAATATAATCTTCCTCAAGCTTTATTTCCTCATCTTCTATATAAAAGGTTTTAGTCAGAAATCAATTTGCGTGGTTACCTTCTAGATTGAGAACTTTTTCTCAAAGAACTCCATGTGAAAATTGTGCTGATCCCCATGAGACTGAGTTGTGAGGAGCTGCAAAAGGATGTTTTGAGTTAGATCTGTTAAAAACAGCCATTAGCCCTTCTTCAAGATTGATCTTTCCTTCAACTTCATGCTTCTTAGGTAATCCAACCATTGCAAATGCTTCATGAACCATCAAAGTCACCATAACATTTCTTTCTATAAGACCCTCCTCACCAAGGAGGCCAACTAGAATAGTCCTAATATTGCCCAAGTTATCTTTTAAATAATCCTTGCTTCCCAGTATATCGACCAGGATATGCGAAATCTTTACTTTCATTTTAATACTAACCCTCAATTAATTCTGCTACATAAGGGGTTTTGGGGTTTTGGGGTTTTGGGG